TTAGAAGAAAGTACATATCTGGTTTTTGTTTTCATTCTTCAAGATACACACAGAGTATATTCAAGTATGCCGTGGAGGTCCCTTGCTAATTATCTATTTGTTTTAAGTTACACATTATTAAACATCTTAGCTGGGTGCAGTGGCCGCTACGTGTGGTCCCTAAATGGGAGATTGAGGCAGAAAAATTGCTTGAGCCCAGAATTTTGAGGTCAGCCTGAACAACTTAGCAAGAGTCTGTCTTAAACAAAGAAAGTTAACATATAAATAAAAATCTTGATGATTACATTACTTTTTGGGGTAAGAGTTTAGAAGAAATAGTGAACTTCTAAAATGCAGTGTAGTCAGTGGTCAAATGTGTAGATACCTGTGTTCTTTGCAGCCCTGTATCACAGTTAACACCTGCATGTCTCTGCTTGAATAGATTTATGCAGGTTCCCCTTCTGGAACCTATAATCAATACTTTTGCCAAATTTAAACATTTCTTTTGAAATTGTGATTTAGAGAGAAATTCTTTATTTTCACTGAAACAGTTTGATCTTTATTCTGTGTGTATATATGCTGTATTGTTATACCTCTTAGGCACAGGAAGGGAAATTACATACATCTATGTGTATTATTTTTAATACGTATTTATGTTAATATATTTATATTATATAAAATGTATTTATACACAAATATACAATTTATATATCTTGTATAAGGTTATGTATAAGTTCATATGCAATTTATAATATTGTACATTACCATTTATATAATTCATATTATTAAAATATATGATTATAAATACATATACATAATTCCTCTTTCTAAGCATAAGAGCTGTAATAACACATTGAAGTAATCTAAGTTCTGTTTGTGGCTGTTGATAAGATAAATACTGTATTGAACCTGGTATAAAACAAGTTAGGAGGTAGGAATCTAACTAGAATTTTGAAATAAATTATTTGTTACTTATTGTTCCTCTTCTAAGGAGTGAATATTAAAATTATAATCGCCATATTATAAAAGGATCTTGCTTTCTTTTTAACATGTGAGATCCCAATAGTATTTAAAATTGTGTTGGCCTGGTACAGTGGTGTGTGCTGATAGTCTCGGCTATTCTGGAGGCTTATGTGGTGGGGATCACTTGAGCCTAGGAGTTCAAGATCAGCCTGGGCAACATAGTGAGGATCTGTTTGAAAACAAAATAAAGTAAAATAAAATTGTTACTTTTTAAGGTTGGACTAATGTATCCATTTTTTTCTTTGTCAGCAGTTACAGGTAGGGAAATGAGAAGTCTTAGAAAATACTATTTCTCTTCTCAATTTTTTATCTTCCCTAAATTCTGTCTATGCAGGCATATGGATACTGACAAGCTGTCTCCAAAAAAGGTGATAAAAACAAATCCATTTAGAAACCAATGGTAAGAAATGAAATTTAAAAATGGTGAAAAGACTATTGTTTAAATGCCCTAAAGATACTTAAACTAAAAAGTTAGGCTTGTTTTGTAATTTCATCAGCTGTTTTAGTGAGTCTTGACTGTGTTCTTCTTAATTACATTATGATTCACTTTCTGCTTCTATGTCATAGTCATTGTATTACTTGATATCTTAAAAGATCAATATCAAGTACTGAGTCATTGTGTCTGTGTTGCACAACATTTTTATCTCATTGCTAGTGAATGTGACTTGATTATACAGCATGTGCCACTTTCAAAATTAGTATGAAATTTTAATTATTAAAAGTTTTAGGGCTAGGGTTATAGCTCAGCAGCGCAGTGCCTGCCTGGCAAGCACAAGGTCCTGAGTTCAATTCCTGGTACCAAAAAAGAAGTTTTAGGCTTTGGGATGTAGCTCAGAGATAAGAGCGAATGCTTAGCATGTTCAGAGTACTAGATTTGATCCCTCTACTACAAAAAATAAAATAAGTAGAAGTTTTAATATATTGATAAATGCTAGGGATTGATGAATACTTGTATTCTTTTTATTTTGTTTTGGGGTTTTTTGATTTGATTTTTGGTTTTTGGGTTTTTTTGGTGCCGGAAATTGAACTCAGGACCGTGCGCTTGCCAGGCAGGTGCTTGTGCCGCTGAGCTATATCCCCAGCCCTTGCTTGGGTTTTTTTGAGATACTATCTTACTATGTAGTGCAAGATGGCCTTGAACTCCCTGAAGTAGCCCAAGCTGGCCTCAAACTCAGGATGATCCTCCTGCCTCAGCCTTCCGCGTGCTGGGACTACAGGCATGTGCCACCACACCCAGAAATACTTGCATTCTTATAGTTAGTATGTTCTTGTATTTCAGAATATAAATTATTAGAAGGAACAAGAATACCATATTGATAGAAAGTCACTTATATACATATTCTGATGGAATTACATCATATGTCATTGTTGATATATTTTTGCACAAATGTACCAGAATATATGTTTGCAAACTTTATGGGTATCACACGTTGCCAGTAGAATGTCAGAAAATTCTGTAATAAATCATTTTCTTTGTAGACTGCTTTTTTTTGTTTTCATATGACTAAAATTATTAGTGGTCATTCACTAGTAACCTTGAGATAGCAAGCCTGATTTTTAAAAGGTCTTCAAATATAAAAATTATGTTCTTTTTAATCATACAAGTGAAAAGTGAGAAAATAATGATAGTTATTACAATGGGAACAATAAAATATGTTTATTTTAAAGAAAAAAATAGAAAAAAAAAAAAACAATAGCAAAACAAAAACAAATGGAAGAAGTAGAAAGGAATGTTTTTCCAGTTTTTCTGCCTAAAGTTGTCTTGCAGCTTCTCACAGAATTCATCTTAAGAAAAACAGTAAATTCTTATCGTGCTAATAAAAGCAATGTTACATATATTTTTTTTTTTTTCTTAAAAACAGAACGCAAGATCTCTTTTCTAGTCATGGGGACTAAGACAGGGATCTGTAAGCTGCATTCTCAAGCCTTTTTCTTCTTTAATTTTGAGATAGAGGTTCACTTAAGTTGTCCAGGCTGGCATCAAACTTTCCTCCCTGCCTCAGCGTCCTGAGCAGCTGGGATTATTACAGACATTCTCTCCCACACCTGTCATAGATTTAAAATTTGATTATTTAGTTTGGTATAACTTGAGCATTGGTCCTTATTATTCAGATAGCTTCTTGCTTTCTAAAACCTGAGACCGCTTTTTGACCTATAAAATATTTTGTTTTAAAAATTTTATTCAGATTTTTAAAATAAATTCGTTTTTGTGTTTAAAAAACAAAATTAAAGCACATTATTAAGTATTCCTTTTTTCAGTTCTCCTTACCTTCCTCTTATATTGAGATGGGTTTTATAGGAAATCCTGTCTCCTTTGCCAAGACTGTGCATGAATGTTGCAGTTCAATCTTCACGTCTCTTAATTGAAGAAAACAGTGTTATCACTTTTTGTGTAGGTAAGGGTTAGTTCACAAAAACTCAGCAAATGAGCTATTAAAGATAATTATATTTTCCTAATGATGTGGTCCTATTTTGATGTTTCTTATGGGTTAAAATTATATGTGTACATAATATGCATTTAGACAGTACTGTAATCCCATGTAGACATTTCAATTTAAAACTAAAATATAAACTGGTAAAACAAAATAATAGTTTTTACTTTTTCACAATTATGAGTCAGTCTCATGGTCACATTGACTGTACTTTTCTGATTTAACCAAAACAGTGCCTTGTGAGCTTTAGTGTTTGCACCTTGTAATTCTGCAGTGTAGTTACCTGCGTCATGTCGTAGGCGATCTTAGCTTTTGAGGCTTTGTATGAGCTACATGTCAGTGCATTAAGCAGCAAGGGCTTCTGACCTTTAAACTTTTTTTTTCTTTTAACATGCTGGACCAGGACAAAGGAGTAAAGCTGTGTCATCTAATTGTCAAAGTTTTGCACCTAATTGTACCCCTTACATGTACTTTCTCCTTTTTTCCCCCCGTACTGGAGTATGGCTCTAAAATAAAATGTATTATATTGCACCAAAACAGTAGTAGAAGCTGTAGAGTGGTAGTATTTGCACAGCTGAAGCTTTTTGTTTTCCTACTCACTTTATTTATCTATTTTCATTGTTTTTCCAGTAAGATTTTATACTTAAGCTCAGTGCTCATATGCTGAGTATAATGGTTGGTAGAAGAAATGAACACAGGTGTGACTTTAAAGGTATAAGCAATCCTATCTGCTTGAGAAAAGAATTATTTTTGTTAAATGGAAATGGAATTTTTTATTTTTAAAATTTGTCTCTGTCTCCTGCCAGCAGGAAACAGAACAGTGATCACACAAGTAAATGTGATGCTTAGAATCTACTATTTTTCCTTTTTTGTTCAAAAATCTGGGCAGGAAGAACAGGGTCTAAGAAGAAAAAGATTTTGCTTAATTTGACTGGGTATTTAGGGGAAGCTTATTTCAGAATTAAACTGGGACCTAGCTTTACATGGTTACTTTTCCTTAATTCTAATATTTAAAGTTTCACTTCACTTATTTATTTTCATTAAAATCCTAAAGTATTACATTTTCCTTTAAATTATATATACACACTTGGTTGTGAATGTATTTAATTGATGCTTCAGTTTGTCCTATAAAGTGATTCTGTGTGTCTTTGTAGCAGTTATATAAATGTTCCACATTAAAACAGGTTAGATGTTATCATAATTTACTGACTGGCTAGGCCAGTCTCTATCATTTTAAATGTGACTCTAATCCGTAAAGTATTTTTTGTTCTATTATCTGCACATGGCTGTCAGTGTAAAATGTTTAATGCATTAGGCACTATAGTAACCAGCAGAAGTGGTTCCACGTGTTGGCTTTTGCAAGGTATTATAAAAGTCACTGTGTACTCCTTTCCTGACGTGGTACGGCATGTGAGTTTTCACAAGCCACGTGCAAGTGTGAGATTTTGAGATTGGAACTAGCACAGAAAGCTTGGGGTAGAAAAATATTTAAAAATTATTCTCTGATGGCCTCAATGATTGTATTTTAAGGGTATATAAAGCTTTGAATCCTCCTGTCTTGAACAGGTTGTGAAGACTGCAGAAAGATAACTTGGAACCCAGTCCCATACGTATAATAAAGACATACTGGTCTTCATGGAAGAAGAACAAGATTTACCAGAGCAACCAGTAAGTATTGCCTTTAATAATTTAACGATCATAGAAAAAACTAAAGAGATTTTAAATATTATTTAATTGTATACACTTATAAGTTCCAAATTAGAAATGGAAATAAAACTTCTTAATAGTTTTCCTCTAAGAAAACAGTAGTATATGTTCTTAAACTCATATTTGGCTACCTTAATGCTAAGGAGTCTGTTTAGAAAATTCAGCATTAAAAAAAAAAAGAAAAA